GATATCTTTTCTTCTGCTTGATCGATTCGGCTGTTAAAACTTGTGCATACTTCGCGAAGTTCTCGTGTTGTGTTTTTCAGCTCCATTAATTCATTTATATTCCTCTCTAAATTGTGTATTCTTGTTAACATTTCGTCAAATATTTTTTCAAAGTTCTTAGTTCTTTGCTTTGGGTTAGAACGAGTTCTTTTAATTCCCAGAAGTTACTTACCATCCACCTTTTGAAGCCTGCTTCTGCTAATGGAACACAGTCTTTCTCCATCAGGCCTTGTTCCGTTGCTGATGAGGAACTGTGATCCCCTGTAGAGGGAGAGGCGTTCTGATTTTGGGTATTCTCAGCCTTTTTAGGCTGTTTTCTTCCCTTCTTTATAGATTTATCCGTCTGTGGTTTTTATAATTACCGTCTTTATAATTGGGTTTCTGAGTGGACGTCCAACTTGTTGATTCCCAGCGCTAAAATCTGAGCAACCCACTGCGCCGGCCAAAATAGCGGCGTTAAGATTGATGGTGCTTTTCTGACTGCACCAAGAACCGCTGCACCAAGGCAGCGGCAAAACCGCCTTGCCGGCCGCAAGAGTCACACTGGCAACCCGTGGGGCTCCTCCACTGGGAATCTCCTGGTGCGTGAGCAACAAAAAGTCATCTGAAAGTGTGGCATCCTCTCGTTCTCTGCACTTTCATTGGGAGCTGCAATCCCGAGCTGCTAGTGATCAGCCATCTTGGATCTCTCTCTTTTTTTTTTTTTGAGACAGAGTCTTGCTTTGTCGCTCAGGCTGGAGTGCAGTGGCGCAATCTCAGCTTACTGCAGTCTCTGCCTCCTGGGTTCAAGGGATTCTCCAGACTCAGCCTCCCTGGCAGCTGGATTACAGGTACCTGCCACCACACCCAGCTAATTTTTGTATTTTTAGTAGAGACAGGGTTTCACCATGACGGCTAGGCTTGTCATGAACTCCTGACCTCAAGTGTTCCTCCTGCTTCAGCCTCCCAAAGTGCTGTGATTACAGGCACGAGTCACTGCCCCCAGCCCAGAGTTAATTTTTGCTGTTACTTTAGCTTTGCGCATATGGCACCTCATAGTTTTGCCATTTTGTCTTTGGGACAAATCTCTAAAGTAGGATTGTTGCTTCACAAGTATGTAATTTGTATAGATGTTGCTGCATTGTCTTCCATAGTGGTATACCATTTTTTGTTCCTATTTATATGGTGTTGAAGTGTTTCTTTTCAGTTGCATTGACAGAAGCTTATTGTCAAATGTTTGAATTTTTAATGTCTGATACTGAGAAATTGTATTTGAATTTAGTTTAGTTTTGTATTTTTCTTACTACAAGTGAGGCTACTGAAGGGACATTTGATTTCTTCAGTGAACTGGTTCCTATTTCTTGCCCATCTTTTTATTGGGCTGTTAGTTTTCCTAACATTTTTAGACGCTGTTTATATGTTAGAGATATTAGTTGATTAGGTGACATAAGATGAAGTATTTTTTTGACTCATAATTAGTGAAACTTTTATAATTGGATTCTGAATTAAAATGTATATATTATTTGGCCCTGAAACTTCACTTCTAGAAATTTATCCTAGAATGCTAATAAAAGGATATTAATAGTCCCAGCATTTTCACCCTTATGTGCATAGCTAAGGGAATTGGAAACATGTTTATATAAAAACTTGTACATCAATGTTTATGGCAGCATTATTCATAATGGTCAAAGATGGAACCAATATAAAAACTTGTACGTCAATGTTTATGGCAGCATTATTCATAATGGTCAAAGACGGAAACAATCTGAGTGTCTGAGCTGATGAATGGATAAACAAAATGTAGCTGGTGCAGTGGAATATTATTTAGCTATAAAAATGAATGAAATACTGATACATGGTACAACATGGATGAACCTTGAAAATAATGCTTATTGGAAGAAGCTAGACACAAAAGGCCACATGTTGTGTGATTCCATTTATGAATTCTATTTATGTATGATCCCAGAATAGGCAAATCCATAGAAACAGAAAGTAGATTAGTGATTGTGAGAGGGGAATATGGGAGAAGAAAATGAGGAATGTCTCCTAATGGATATATGGTTTCTTTTGGGGGGTGATAAACATGTTTTGGAGTTAGATAGTGGTAATGGTTGTATAACCTTGTGAATATTCTAAAAACCACTGACTTGCGCACTTGAATGTGGTAATTTTATGAGATGTGACATATTTTAAAAAAATAACAAAATGTATAACCTCAGTCCAGTCATGAGATAATACTATATGAATTCAAATTGAGGGACACTCTATAAAATTACTGGTGAAGCGTATACTAATTTTCCTTAAAAGTGTCAGGATCATGAAAGTAAAAAATAAAAGTCTTGGGATCTGACTTAGGTTGGAAGAGCCTAAAGAAATGATAGAACTAAACACAGTGTTAAATCTTTTATTAGATTCTGAACCAGAAAAAAAAATAATGGGAAAATGGCAAATTTCAAATAAGGTATGTAAAGTTTTATAGCAATGCTAATTTCCTGGTTTAGATAATTATGTCATGGTTATAGAAGATGTTAACTTTGGGGGAAGCAGGATAAAGGATTATATAGGAATTCTTGTTTTTTGCAGCTTCTCTGTAGGTTTAATATTATGTCAAAATTTAAAAAGTTAATTGCGGCAATTTTAAATAAGTGAAAATCCCATGTACTCTTATCATTATTGGAATGACTAAAATTATGGCACATGCATACAATGAGATACTGAGTAGTTAGCTATTAAAAAGAGTGTGGGCCACGTGTAGGGGCTCATGCCTGTAATCTCAGCACTTTGCATTGAGCTGAGATCACGCCACTGTACTCCAGCCTGGGCAACAAAGTGAGACTTGGTCTCTTAAAAAAAAAAAAAAAGCTAAATAAGAAGCAACCCTAACACTTAGTGGCTTAAAGCAACAACCATTTATTATAATACTTTGGGCTAGTGGTTTAAGTGGAACTCGATGAGAATTCTTCACTGATTTCTCTTGGTTTGTCTCATGCTTCTGTTGTCACCTGCAGGCTTGATTGTAGTTGGTGGTCATGGCTGTTAACTGGTTTGTCTGTGAGGTCTTAATAGGGAGAGTTTCTTATGCTCTCGTACTTCTGTGGCTAGAAGAGATTTCTCCTTGTGGTGGTCTTGAAGATATTTGGCAATCTAGGTTCAAAAATCCATGTTTTCACCTCACCTGGTTAGAGGAAGTTGTTAAGCCAGCTTTGATGTAGGAATGTGGAGAAATGGAATTGGAAGCAAAGTCATATTGTGAAAATGTGTGTGTACAGGGATGAGAGGAATTAGTAGCTCTTTGTTTTTGCAGTTTTCCACAGGAGTGATAGGATAAGGTGTGTAGTTTTAGAAAGTTCACTGAGTCTAGTGTCACCACAGATTTGGAGGGGGCAGGGAAAAATGAGTCAAGGCAGGGTTAACAGGTCATTGCAGTAATCTATGAGAAAGATGGTAAATAAGACCGTGCAGAGACATTATTGTACACTTTTCATCCTCTGCTTCTAAACATCTCTGGAATTGGGATATCTCAAGATATTCCATACTGACTTAGAATTATCTGAGCTGCCCCTCAGGCTTTTGAGCATATGACACCCATAACCCATCTCTCTTATTGTATAGGTAAGGAAACTTCAGTCCTAGAGAGGTTAAGTGTCTAAGGAACACATAATTCGTAAGGGACAGAGCAGTCAGATTCTGGAACCTCAGTCTCTTGAAGACCCGATGGTTTTCGACCAAAGCTCCAGTGATTTGCATTGATGGGACAGATCAAAAGTGTATAATCTTAGTACCTTCCATTATTAGGGGAAGTGAAGGCATCAGGGATAACACGGAATGAAGTTTTATCTTAAATAACAGACTCTAAATTTATTTTACATATTTTTTTAATACCATTTTAAAATAATGAATTTCTTATCTTTCTTTGCTGATTTTCATAATAACTTTCTTTTTTAGCTACAAGGCTTTGGCCGACCGAGTGTGTACCATGCTGCTATTGTCATCTTCCTTGAATTCTTTGCGTGGGGCCTGTTGACAACTCCAATGTTGACTGTAAGTATTGCTGAACTGGGTTTTTGTTTTGTAAGAGAGAGTTAAGTTCTTAGGCATGTATCACTGTGTATGTCTAGATTCATGTTTGTGAGTAGCTCTTGATAGTGATTTAAAATACTGTTTTCTTTTCTTTTTTTTTTTTTTTTATTGTTTCTCTTTTATTTTTTTCCTGCTGTGGTTCAGACTGTAACAAAACACCTCTTTAAATATTCCTGGGTAGCAATGCACTGCTATTGAACTAGACTTGGGGGTGCAGCTATACAGATGAACTGTATATGTTTAGGAACATCTTTAAGATACTCTGTTGTAGCAATACCCAACCTTTTTAGTACCAGGGACCAGTTTCATGGAAGACAGTTTTTCCATGGAATTTGGTTGGTGAGGGAATGGTTTCAGGATGAAACTGTTCCACTTCAGGTCATCAGGCATTAGTTAGATTCTCATAATGAGTGCAGTCTAGATCCCTCACACACAGAGTTAAGAATAGGGTTCCCGCTCCTATGAGACTCTAATGCTGCTTTTGATCTGACAGGAGGCAGAGCTCAGGTGGTAATGCCAGCTCAGGACAGGCCACCGACTCAGAGAGTCCTGTCCTACAGGAAGCTGTAGAGCATTGTTGAAGTTTGTAACTTTATGGGGACGTTAATAGTCTTTGACTTAAGAACTTAGTAAATAGCAGATTGGTGAGTACTTTGTAACAATGAGTAATAATTGTAAGAATGTCTAAATTTCAGTTTTTTGTAGCTTATCTACAGCCATTTCTTGAGAGGTGATATTGAATATCGTAGCAAGAACTTGTATATTTAATCTATGATGTGGTTAGAGGGAAGAGAGATGCCAAAGAAAAGATTAAGGGGGCAGATCTTAGGTAGCTTACAGCTGTTTAATGCTTAATTTAAATAAAATATTTTAAATTGGTGTTAAGTTTCAGTTGTCTAAATTATTCTTTTTTTTTTTAAAGACGGGGTTTCACCATATTGGTCAGGCTGGTCTTGAACTCGTGACCTCAGGTGATCCACCCGCCTCAGCCTCCCAAAGTGCTAGGATTACAGGGGTGAGCCACCGCGCCCAGCAGTTATTCTTTAAAAATTATTGATGAACCAGGCACAGTAGCGTATGCCTTTAGGCCTAGCTACTCAGCAGGCTGAGGCAGGAAGATTGCTTGAGCTCAGGAGTTCTAGTCTAGCCTGGGCGACATAGCAAGATCCTATCTATTAAAAAAAACCCAAAATTAAAAAAAAAAATAAAATCATTGGAGCTTTAATTCTTCCCAGCCATCATTTTGCCTTACTAAAGAATCCATTGGCTGGGCACAGTGGCTCACGCCTATAATCCCATCACTTTGGGAGGTTGACGTAGGTGGATCACCTGAGGTCAGGAGTTTGAGACCAGCCTGGCCAAAACGGTGAAACTCTGTTTCTACTAAAAATACAAAAATTAGCTGGGTTTGGTTGCAGGCACCTGTAATCCCAGCTACTTGGTGAACCTGGGAGGCAGAGGTTGCAGTGAGCCGAGATCATGCCACTGCACTCCCTCCCACCTGGGTGACACAGTGAGACTTCGTTCTTCCACCCCCCAAAAAAAGAATTCCTCTGGGTACAGATGGGTATAGATAATCTTTATTCTTAAATAAGGTTAGACAACAGAGAACTTTAGAGGGTGGTTGGGCTTTTAATTCCTCTGGCACATTTAAAATACAGTTTGATTAATTAAAATTATAATGTGGGTGGAACAGAGGACTTAAAAATTGCCTACATCCTTAATCCTTTTTTTTTCTTTTGCAGTAGTTTTTCCTTCATAGTAGGAAACCTATAGTAGGTTATTAGTTATTAGTTAATGAGGATAATTGGTCTCATTTTGAGTTTCATGAGATTCTTATTTTTCTGACTGTGTGCATAGTACTGCTTGGGATATAGTTGGTGCTTAATAACTATTTTCTTTGAACAAATACATGTGTTTGTTCAGGACATATTTTTAGTATGAATATAGACAAACTAGACTACTCTGTTTTTTATTATTTTAAAAAATTATGGTAAAATACGCATAGCAAACTTAACATTTTCACCATTTTGAGGTATATAGTTCAGTGGTATTAGATACATTCATAATGTTGTGTATCTGTCACCACCATCCATCTCCAAACTCATTTCATCTTTTAAAAATGAAAACTTTAGCCCAGGCACAGTGGCTCATGCCTGTAATCCCAACACTTTGGGAGGCCAAGGCAGGCGGATTCGAGACCACCCTGACCAATGTGGTGATGTAGCAGGAGCGGCCGCAGGAAACATCTCTCAAACACCGAATTAAGAAGGAAAAAGTTTATTTGGCCCGGGAGCCTGAGCGATAATGTGTCCAAAGCCCAGCTCATCTAACAAAGGAAGGTTCCACCTTTATATAGGCTTATACTTTAGATATTACACTTGGAAGAATCTTGGGTTTACAGTCTTAGAAGTCACATATGAAAAGGGTTTCAGTTTACAGCTTCAGGAATCACATATGAAAGGGTTCCGGTTTACAGTTTTAGGACTCACATGTGAAAATGTTTCGGTTTATAGTTTCAGGAATCACATATGAAAGAGTTCTTGGCCGGGCGCGGTGGCTCAAGCCTGTAATCCCAGCACTTTGGGAGGCCGAGGCGGGTGGATCACGAGGTCAAGAGATCGAGACCATCCTGGTCAACATGGTGAAACCCCGTCT